AAAGAGAAACAAACATCCAGACATCTACACAAACTTTCGCATTTATAATATTAGTAGGAAGTAGGACGAGTACAAGGACGACTTTATCCACTAGTTATGTTGCCTACATGATAGGAGCTTACACACGACTCGTTGTAGTGGGCGACGCCTCTGTGGACCATTGAACGTAACTTTTGGCAACGTTCCATGGCATATAAACATATTTCCTCCAAAAGTGTTAATACTTACCAATTCTTTAATATTATTTGCAGCAAATAACTAGTTAAGTAATCGCATAACATCTTATCATACACAATATACTTATTTAGTTACATTATCTTCCAATTGAAAAGAAGAACCATACATTTTATGAGGCGATTTTATAATCGCTTTAACGATCACTACCAACATAAATACGATCAACAGAAAGCGCTCTGAACCACTTATCCTCTCTGTTTAATGTACAAATAACTCAATCAAGTAAAAAGCACTTGAAAAAGCTTTATCCGTGGCTCAAAATTAAATAATCAGCCAAATTGCTTTGTTATTTATTTCCCCTTTTCGTTTCCAATCCGAACGCTCCGGAGAATTTGGAACTGGCATCGTATCCTTCCGAAAATCCGAAATAAATAAAAAATAAAACTCAGTCAAACAACAAAGCCAAACACTTAACTTTATGGGTGTAGAAAATACATCTATCATATCGAATGACCCCTACGATATCCGGCGAACAAAAAAAGGAGGATATAAGAAGGAATTACATCAATCCAATTTAAGGAACGACTCGCATTACGCACATTCCGGAATCCAGAAATTATGGTGTGGCGCAAGGATCTGGAGCAAGCGACCAAATGTTTTAGTGAACGGATTAGCAAGCTTAAGTGGCAATGGGTAGAGCACATAGTATGCAGAACTGACGGCCGATGGGGCAGCAAGGTTCTGGGGTGGAGGCCGCGTACCGGTAAACGCAGGCTAGGACGTCCACCCACAAGGTGGACCGATGACATCATAAAGGTAGCAGGGAAGCGCTGGACGCAGGCCGCTACCAATCGATCAACATGGAAAGCATTGGGGGAGGCCTATGTTCAGCAGTGGACGTCCTATGGCTCAAATGATGATGATGATGACAAGAAGATAGGTGATGTCATGTAGGTATCAACAATTGGTCAAAGCTCATTACACAACAAAAACCTATCTAATACCTACGTGTCGATCTAATTCAATATACAAGTATCAAAAACTAGGATGTTTCCTAAAATTTCCGTCTCTTCCTCCTTTTGGAAGAAAATAGTAGGTTGGATTCACAAACAAATTGATTCTTGTCAAATACGATCTAAGGCCAGGTTTATGAATTGAGATTTTTGGCTGAAACGTGCTCATCTTCTATCAAGATTCATACTTGAAACCAAAATGTTCACATCAGAAACTGGGTCAAGGTATGTCAAAGTTTCAATGAGTTTATCTCCACAAGTTCTGAGAAAGGTTTGATATACATACAAAATAACAGACAACGAAGTGTCTTCCAAGCCACAAAATAGATTGTATCAGAAGAAAATCACCTTTATGTACTTTATTTTCATAAGCACACAGACGCGTGTCTCAAGCGGGCGGAACTCGCACTCGCAGTGGTTTAGACTGGTTTGCGATATCGCGTCTATGATCTTTGTCTATGTGTGCGTTGCGAGCGCACTCTGTAAGTCATAAGTTAAGTCATAAGTTTATTCCATTTAAAAACAATATTACATTGTGCTGGAAATAGGTACAATAATAATATAAGCATAATAAATAAGCATGCAAAATTACAATTAATCAGAATCTATACCAATGTCAAAATTAACCATGTCAATAATTAATAGCAATATTATAATTGCAAATAAAAAAAAAACAATCAAAAATATTATCTTATACATGTCACATTTTGTTTTTTAGTTAAATCTAGTTCACATTAAATTCAAATTAATTTCAATAATGTCACAACAATAAATTAATAAAATAAGTCAAATTAAAGTTAGACCATTTTACAAAAATCCTCCACACTATAAAAACTATTATCCAGCAGGTAAGCCCTCAATACTTTTTAACCGACTTCAAAAAAGGAGGAGGTTATATGTTCGACTGTATGTATGTTTTTTTTTTCTATGTATGTTCACCGATTACTCCGTCAATTGTGGACCGATTTTCAAAATTCTTTTTTTGTTCGATAGAGTACACTTCTGAGGTGGTCCCATTGTCACCAAGTCAGGATCTGATGATGGGATCCTAGGGAAATCGACTGCAACCCTCAAATTTTATAGGCACGTATATCGTTTTTCAAACATTTTCTTAAGTTATTCAAGTATTTGCTCCTGGAAATCATCATCTCAAATTGATGAGCTGATGATAGAGAGTAAAAATCCTTAATGCTTAGGAGTTGGAGGTAATTCTTTTAATTTTATAGATAAGTATAGTTTCTAAAGTTATTCAAGTGTTTGCATCAGATAGCCATCATCTCATCACGATGAACTGGTCATGGTAGGTACAACTCCATAACGCTTAGGAGTTGGAGGATAATTCTTTAAATATTATAGGTACAAATAGCCCAACAGTTGTATTCTTTCATGTTTTTAAGGTGGGCTGACGGTTTAAGGTCTTTTTAGGTTGCCGATATGGTAACCTGTATTTTGTAGAGAATATTATGTTACACTTGACATGAAGAATATACTGCCTACCTTCAGTGATAACACCAAGGTAATAATTAGTTAACTAAAAAGCCAGAAATAAGTTAATTTTTATAAAAAAAAATAAAACCGACTCCAAAAAACATACACTAAAAAGTAGAAAAATAATTACTAATTACTTATTTATTAGGACGAATTAATATTTATGTATACCATGATTGATACTTTTGGAGTCGGTGCAAGCAAACTTCACACGTTTCATAATCTTGGCACCGACTCCAGAAGTATCAATCATGGTATACATAAATATTAATTCGTCCTAATAAATAAGTAATTAGTAATTATTTTTTTTAAATATATTAACATTATTTATTTTCTTTAAATGTTTNTTCGAGGCAATTTGGACCTTATTACTTAAGAGTTTTTAACTTGTAATATTTTAGATTCTATTGTGAGTAATATTGGACTTGTAAAATTTTAAATGCATGTTTTAGGACTTAGAATAATTTGCTAAAAAACGAGGGAACGGGGAATCCATGCCCGATTTTGTTGATATTTAAGTTAAGCGAAAACACTTGTAATTTTCATAGATTGTCATATTAGTAAAAAGTTACATTTTACAAATTGCAATATTTTGTTTATGCACAGTCTTTTAATTGTAATTTCAATATGGAAGGTTTAATTAACGTTCAGAAAGACTTACAAAAAGCTATTGAAAAGGGTGCAGTTAATTATAGGAAAAGTCCAAAGGATAGAATCACTATTGAATATTTAGAAACTAGATTGGAAAATGTGGAAAGAGATTGGGGATTATTTTATAAAAATCACAATAAGTTAGTTCTTCAGTACGAGGGCAAAGAATTGGAAAATAGTTCATATGTCATTAACGACATCTATGATAAGACTGAGGAATCTTACATAATGTATAAATCATGTTTGAAAACTGAGTTAAATAAATTATTGGCTTATGCACAAAGAGAAAAATCTGCAAATTTAAATGTTGAAAAATGTGAGTCCAATAATTCTTTTGTTAATTTACCTAAAATATCGATTCCGAAGTTTTCTGGTAATTATTCAGAGTGGCCAACCTTTAGAGACTTGTTTACTTCACTCGTACATAATAATAATTCACTCGATGATGTACAAAAATTACATTACTTAAAAGGCCAACTGTCAGGAGAAGCAGAACAATTAATAAGACATACTCCTATTACCAGTGATAATTATTTGCAGTGTTGGGATCTATTAGTAAAGAGATACAACAATAAACGTTATCTTTCAAATTGCATTTTGAAACGATTATTTAGTCAAAAACAATTAAATGTTGAATCATCATCGGGATTAAAGGAATTGTTGGACACTACATGTGACTGTTTAGGTGCGCTACAGAACATAGGTATACAGGTGTCCACGTGGGATGTTATTATCATTCATATAGTAACGTTTAAATTGGACTTAGAAACGCGTAAACAGTGGGAATTACATATTTCTAATATTGATGCCAATATTTTACCAACTTGGAACCAACTTAAGGAGTTCTTAGAGAGTCGTTTTCGGGCTCTGGAGTTCGTAGTTGCGAAGAGACCTTTCCAACAAAATAGTAGTCCTCAGAACAAGCCCAAGGTATTGCTTTCTACTAATGGTTCTGGTATGCGATGTGAATACTGCTCAGATGTTCACAAGTTATGTTTCTGTAAAGAGTTCGCTAAACAAGATTGTGCAAAACGACGTGAGTTCGTTCTTAAAAATCGCATTTGTTTTAATTGTTTGGGCAGTAATCACACCGCTTACGAATGTAAGAGCCCCAGTACCTGCAAAATATGTAAAAAGCGCCACCACTCGTTACTTCACATAGCATCTGAAAAGGTAAACGAAAAGAGTTCATCTGAAGAGGTCTCTCCACTGGTGACTTGTCTGTCAACAATGGAAAAACCTAAGCAGGTTTTATTAGCCACCGCGTTAGTAAATGCCGAGTCACAAACAGGTGAATTTCAAGTTATACGGGCGTTGCTTGATCAAGGCTCTCAGGCGTGCTTTATTACCGAAGCCACTGTGCAGCTTTTGAGATTAAAAAAGAGATCAATTCATGGCGTTATTTCAGGATTGGGAGATAATAAATCAGTAACTACCAAATATGAGGTCAACTTTACAATACAGTCGCGTTTTGATCCTTTGCATAAAATACCTATCAAGGCGTTCGTGTTAAAAAACATCACTTCATATTTGCCTGAAAAGCACATCAAGTCAATAAATTGGATAGATTTGCAATACTTACCGCTAGCGGATCCTGGGTTCACTGCATCAGGTAAGATTGATTTGCTGATTAGTGCAGAAGTTTACAGCTACATTCTGAAAGAAGGGTTAATGAGAAGTCCAACGGGATCGTTGATCGCGCAGAACACCACATTGGGGTGGATCGTTTCAGGTGTAGTTGACACTGCCAATGTAACTGAAGAAAAGAATAACAAATCTAAGGCCATTTCAAGAAATATAACTGTCATGCACGCACAAGTAAATGAGGACGACATTTTAAGGAAGTTTTGGGAAATTGAAGAACAACTACCTGATAAACGGACTATCCTAACCGAAGAAGAACAACGCTGTGAGGACTTCTTTACAAGCACCACAGTGAGAACACCCGAAGGTCGTTACATTGTGAGGTTACCATTTCGTGGAGATCAACCGCAATGCACGAATCACGGGTCTAAAGATATCGCAGAAGCTAGATTTAGATCTTTGGAAAAAAGATTCGCAAAGGACAAACACCTAAAAGAAAAGTACACAGAAGTAATAAATGAATATCTAACTTTAGACCACATGAGGCCAGCCAATGAGAACATAAAGGAAAATGAAGCAACTTATTTACCACATCACGCTGTTGTACGAGATGATAAAACGACAACAAAGGTTCGAGTGGTATTTAATGCCTCAGAGAAGAACAAGAAAGGCGTATCATTAAACGATACTCTTATGATTGGCCCCACTATACAAGCGGACCTTCGCCATACTGTGATGCGATGGAGAGAACACCCGATTGCTTTAGTAGCGGACATCGTCAAAATGTATCGCCAGGTTTTAGTAGCAGAGGAAGATGTGAAGTACCAACGTATCCTGTGGCGCGACGAACCTGAAAAACAAATAAAGGAATATGAATTACTGACAGTTACTTTTGGAACAGCATCGGCGCCTTACCTTGCGGTCAGAGTGTTGCAGCAAATCGCCATGGACGAAGGCCAAGAAGTTCCTCAAGCTGCTGAAAGGATTTTACAGAGCTTTTATATGGACGATCTGATGACTGGTTGTTCAAGCGTCGAAGAAGGTGTAGAGCTCTATAATCAGTTAAGCAAATTATTAGAAAAAGGCGGATTTAAATTACAAAAGTGGAACAGTAATGATAAAACGTTAGTTGAAACTATCAAGGAGAAGGAAAGGGAAAGTGACGGGTTAGTGACAGAGGAGGTGATAGAAGGAAATAAGGACAGGGATACACAAAAACCAGAACAAACAGAACTAAAACTCAAATTAGACCAAACAGTAAAAATATTAGGACTTACCTGGAATCGCGACGACGACTTCCTGCAGTACTCGGTGATCCTTCCTCCAGCAACCGCACCTGTAACAAAAAGAACAATTATAGGAGATATAGCGAGACTGTTCGACCCACTAGGATGGATAGCGCCTACCATCATCATAGCAAAGATTTTTATTCAGCGTTTATGGTTAGCTGGTGTAGGTTGGGACGAACAGCTTTCTAACGAACTATTAGATGAATGGAACACTTACCGAAGAACATTATTGGATTTAACAAAAATCAGGATTCCACGTTGGCTTGGTACTTGTCCAGATGACGTCCAAGTCGAACTTCACGGGTTTTGCGATGCGTCCAAGGCAGCCTACTCAGCAGTTATCTATTTAAGGACAATTAACATACAAGGACAAGTGAATGTATCACTTCTAACTGCCAAAACAAGAGTAGCGCCTATCAAGCAAGTGAGCATCCCAAAGCTGGAGCTATGTGGAGCGGTTCTGTTGTCAAGATTGATAATTGAGACTGCTAAGGTTCTTAACATTCCCAAGGACAAGGTTAAAGCTTGGACCGACTCCACCATTGTTCTTGCATGGTTGAATGCTCACCCTAGTAAATGGAAAACCTATGTAGCCAACAGGACCTCGGAAATTCTAACAAACATGAACTCATCGCAATGGAGCCATATTTCTACGAAGCACAACCCTGCCGATTTAGCTTCTCGAGGAGTTTTGCCGGTTCCTTTAGCTGAGAGTAGCTTATGGTTCAAAGGGCCACAGATAATTCAAGAACAAATCATAACTTACCCTAGAGCGACGGATTTGAAGGGCACCCTTGAAGAATCAGCCGGTAGAACTTATGTTGCAACCATCCCGGATGATACGATTTTCAAAAGATTTTCTTCACTGTCGAAATTAGTTAGAGTCGTAGCATACTGTAGAAGGTTCATAAGACGAACAAGGTCCACATATTTACGCAAGGATGAAATTGATGAAGCTCTACAGTGCTGTATTAGACAAGCCCAAAGAGAATCATTTCCATCTGAATATGCTCAATTGTCGGTCGGAAATTCAGAACACAAATCAAGTTCATTGAGATCACTATGTCCATATTTAGACGACAACAAGATCATCAGAGTCACAGGTAGATTGCAAAAAGCACAAGGAGATGAGAACTTTAAGCATCCAATAATTTTGCCAAAGAATCACCAACTCACCAAGTTGATAGTAGCTGACGCACATGAAAGAACATTGCACGGCGGTCCCCAGTTAATGATAAATTATCTGCGGTCTGTTTACTGGATAATTTCAGTCAGAACAATTGTGAGACAGCACGTTCATGCATGTGTGATCTGTGCTAAACAAAAGGCTCAGACCAAGGCTCAATTTATGGGCTCATTGCCTTCAGTAAGATGCACGCCAGCTAGACCATTTCTTCACAGTGGTTTAGATTATGCTGGACCCATCAATATAAGGACATCCAAGGGTAGAGGTCATCGCTCTTATAAAGGATACATCTCATTGTTTGTATGCATGAGTACGCGCGCTATTCATCTCGAGCTGGTGAGTGATATGACCTCTCAAGCTTTTCTTGCAGCATTTAAGCGTTTCACTGCTCGTCGAGGACATTGTACCGACATTTGGAGCGATAACGGTACAACGTTTGTAGGAGCAAGCAAAGAGTTGCAGCAATTGAGTTCCATCCAAGAACCCATTGTACAAAATCTTGAAATGAATGGCACTACGTGGCATTTCATTCCCCCCCATGCCCCCAATTTCGGAGGTATCTGGGAGGCTGGAGTGAAATCTACTAAATTTCACCTCAAACGCGTAATTGGAGACCAAACTTTAACTTTCGAGGAATTAAGCACTCTCTTGTCTCAGGTGGAAGCATGTTTGAATTCACGTCCGATAAGTGTCATTCATAGTGACGATCCTAGTGAACCATTTCCACTAACTCCAGGACACTTTTTAATTGGAGAGTCACTTTTGACAGTACCAGAGCCCAATTACGAAACCTCATCATTAAGCTCTTTAAGTCGTTGGCAGTTAATACAGAGATCAGTTCAAACCTTTTGGAGACGTTGGTCTCAGGAGTATTTGGCATTAATGTTAAATCGATATAAATGGAGATCACACACTCCAGAGCCAGAGATCGGCCAGATTGTTTTAATTAAAGAAGACGATTTGCCTCCTAGTAGGTGGCTTTTAGGGCGCATTTTAGAGAAGCATCCAGGTAATGATAACATATCACGTGTGGTCACCTTGCGCACTAAGTCATCCGTCATAAAAAGACCTACATCAAAGCTCTGTATTTTGCCTATAGCAAACTAAGTTTATTTTGTTTTAAAATGTTATTTGTCATTAAGTACAATTTTATTAATTACTAGCGGCCGCCCGCGACTTCGTACGCGTGGACCTCGTTTTACTCCATTAGGGGTGGAGTTTCGTAAAATCCGCTCTTAGCATCTATAGCGCATACATTTTAAATTTCAACTCTCTTACTTTAAACACATAGGACTTTCATAATATAAACTTCCAACCCTCCTTTTATCTCCTTAGCCCCCGTGGTTGATGTCTAATGATACATTTTCAGTATATGTACCACCACCACCACCATTTCAGCCATAGGACGTCCACTGCTGAACATAGGCCTCCCCCAATGCGGCCTGCGTCCAGCGCTTCCCTGCTACCTTTACGATGTCGTCGGTCCACCTTGTAGGTGGAAGTCCCACGCTACGTTTTCCGGTACATTATTTGAGGATCATGAATTATTTTATTGTTTTTCTTTAGAATAATTTTAAGTTTATCAACATTACCAATGTGGTTTCTATTGATGTTTACAGTGTTCCATATTGCTTTAGCTGAGTTCTTACATCTCTCAATTTCATACTGAACAGCCTTTTTTTTCGCTGTTCTAATCACTTTCCTATAAATACGCACATATTTTTTTTTATACTCTAGCAACGTATTGTCAGCAACTGATGTATTTGCCAGTGTTAAAAAGCGTTTCATCTTGCTTGACGTTTTTATCCCCCTAGTAACCCACTTCAAAGATTGTTTACAATTCACTTTAATTTTTTTTGTTTTTATTTGGTAGGAATTTACAAAAACTGTATTAAGATTTTTCAAAAAGCTATTTATTCCATATTCGTTCCAGTCATATTTGAGCACGTATTCCCTAAATTTGTTATTATTTGCGTCGTTAAATACTCTTTGTTTCTTTAATAAAACTACATTATTATCTTGCTTGTGACCCTGAAACGGTAGAGAAAATCTGCACATTATAGCCGCATGACCATCAGATAGACCATTGTGATCCACCTTAGTGTCATTAATAAAAGTATCGGGAAGATTTGTCAAAAAGTTGTCCAAACATGATTGAGCACTACCTTTAACATATGTCACTGACGATATAAGCGGTTTAAAATTGTAACACTTCAACAAAGACAAAAACTCAGATCTCTGACTTGAGTCCTTCAACAAATCAACGTTAAAATCGCCACAAATCAAACATTTCTTATTGAAATTATATTCTAATAACATTTCCATTTGTTCAATAAAAAGATTAAAGTACTTATCTAACGGATTCCTATAAATGCAGATGACATTCAGTGCAGTATCTACATCTCTAATTCCACATACTTCAAAATAGGAGGTTTTGTACATTTTTTTACAATATGACAATTCCACAAAATTACAATTCCTAAGACCTAACACAAGACTTCCTCCTCTAATTTTATTTGATCTGGTATTATAGGAAATAATTCCATACTGGTTCAAGTTAAATAAATTTATATTTTTGTCATTTAAAAAGTGCTCAGTAACACATACATATCGTGGCATAATTGAAGTGTTAAGAGTCTCCAGATACAGATCAAATTCGTCCTTTTTTGAGGTCACGCCACACATGTTCTGATGATATACCTGTATGCAGATATTACTACTATGTACACTGCTTTCGTTCTCAAGCACCGTTCCACAATCAGGACTTTTCCCTTGAAATTGGTATGTATGATTGATTTTACACTTTCTTTGAGTCACGAAAAAACTTTCTATTCAGATTTTCGAAAATATTTAAAATACCCAAATTATTAATTTTACCTGTATACTGGGAAAACATTTCAAACGACAAGTCCATATTGGAATCAAAACAATACACATTCTTTAGAGACTGTAAACCCCCACTTAACATATTATTAAAAATCTCCACATTATAATTAAACAAAGGAGCCCCACAAATATATGTAGGAACTGCAAGAATTATGTTAGTAAAAGTAAATTGCCTTAGCTTCTCTACAATATCACTTATAAGTTCATAATTACTTTCCATTTTTCTTAAGTCTTTTTCTCCAATAAGTACAACGCAATGATCACTTTCAGTATAGTTCTCGATTTTATTTTCCAAGCCATCTAGTAGTTCTCGTATTCCTGCGTGTGTTTTTATAAAATGACAATATTCGAATTCCTTATTATTCAGTCTCTCCATAGCTCGTAGGACTTTGTTTCTGTTATTACTGCTGATGACACATAATTTTTTCTTCATAATGCAATTTGTGTCTGGTGATTTTTGAATATTTGGTTCATTCTGAGTGCAATTCATGTCCGAAAAGTTCATTCTTACTTTGTTGAAGTTCTTTTGTTTTTCTCTTGATTTTCTAGCTTTAGGAGTGGAGCGACATATTTGTGTAAGTTTATGAGTTTTCATCTCATAAGCCTTGATTTGTTTCTTTAGCGTATTGTTTTCTAGTGACAGATTCTCTATTTCTTTTTCAGCACTAAGAAGTTTCTTTTCTACAGAGTTTAGTTTCTTTATTAGTTCATTCAGCTCTTCTTTAATACTAAGACTTATTTCTGGACAGCTTCTGTTTAAGAATCGTGTTTTTATTTCAGAATCGTCTTCACTATCTGAAATATCCAAATTCAGCAGCCCTTCAAAAGAGTTGCCCGTGGAAATATTTATTTTACATTTGTTGTAGATTGTCTTCTGCTCCTAATTTGTGTCGAAGCGCTTAGCTCCAGTCTATTCCTTACACCACCCGCCAAACCGAAGGCCTACGGAA